GCATTTTCTGGAATTGTCATCTTGTTAACAATTCTGTAATGATGTTTCTCAATTTGTATGTACAAAAAATACTCTTCCACTTCAATAAAACAATATTTTCCTCTATTTTTAACACAATCACAGATGTTGGTTATTTATACTGATGTTATTTTCTGAACTTGTTTAACATGACATATTTCAATCAATCAATCAATCAATCAATCAATCAATCAATCAATCAATCAATCAATCAGATACTTACCAGATGTATCATCATGCGCAATCCAAGTTTCATTACCTGTACTTATAAAAGTGTGCGTACAAGTAAACAAACTTATCAGGATGACCAGGTATATCATTTGTCTCATACCCATGGCCACACAACTATCAGGAATGATGATTGTAAACTCTTGCTTCTCCTTCCGCCTCTTCCGCACCTCGACTCCTCTCTCAGCTCCTCGAAATCGATCCAGCTGCAGATATGATGCACAGATCCCCTCCTGTCTTCCGGAGCCGCCTTTAGCCTGCTTGCATGGATCCACTGTGGCTGGAAATCAGTCAGCACCCCTGTCCGCGTCACAGCGATGACAGTCGCAGGTCCAAGATATTTTGGCTCTCCGAGCTTTGGAGGTTTCAGGCACTTTATCAACACCTGTTGGCCTGGAGCAAAAGAATGAGTCGGCTTCTCTGCAGGAAGAGGGAGAAAGAGAGAAACCACCATTTATGCTATATAAAGTTTTGACCAGGGAATCCACGTAATCCGCGATGATCACCTCCGTGTCACCTGTGGATTGTGATTCAAACGTTCCGCTACCGAACACGACTGGGGATTGTAGGGTATGTTCAGATGCCAGTTAATATCTAGCTCTTTAGCTAGCAACTGGGTAACCTTGGAGGCAAACGGTGTACCATTATCGCTTTCTATAACCGTTGGTATACCAAAACGAGGTATAATCTCCTTAGCAAGTACCTTCACTACAGTCTGTGCATTTTCTCTTCCACACGAGAAAGCCTCAGGCCATTTGGAGAAACGGTCCACTATCACAAGCAAATATTTGTGATTTCCACAAGGAGGCATGTGTGTAAAGTCTATTTGTAAATGCTGGAATGGCAGTTCCGGGTGTGTAAGAGAATCATGTTTACTAGCTTTATGTCGATTGGTCTTAGCACAGATCAAACAAGCATCTAATAACAACAAAGTATTTTTTCTTACATTTGCTATACAATACGATTGATTCAAATTTTGAATCACTTTCTCTTTTGACACATGTGAGACACCATGATTGTGTTTGCATCGCATAATGCAAATCCTGCCCTGCTTATCTCTCAAAATACCTGCTTGATCCGGTT